TAGCCAGCAGTCACAGTAAGAGACAGTTACGCAGGGCCACGGTAGCTGAGCTGGGGAACAGGAGGATGAAACTGGACTCGAGGTGCCTTAGTGGAAGGGTCTTGGTAATCATCACAGCCTTTGAGAATGAGCCCCCAGAGTAAGCCTGAATCAGAAATGTGCCAATAAATACAAAGAATGGGTCTAGCAGTCAGTCAGTCCAATTATGAATTACTTTAAGGTGATTTTCCACTTGCCAAACTGCTGGCCAGGAGCAAAAGAAAATCTACTGTACAGGAAGATAACATTGTCCAGAGCCTTAAACTATTTCATGATTTTTAATATACTGGGTGAAATTCAATAAAAATTGTCAGACAAATAAGAGATTAAGATGTGCTAAAAATTAAGGGAAAAAGAGAAGGAAAGTTTCCTACAGGAAATTCACATACTGAAGATATTGGGCATTGCGATCAAGATTACAACCTCGTGCTTTCCAGGCAGGTGCTTTCCAGGCAGGGGCTTACACCATTGACGTAAATCCCTGGTCCTGGGCATAGACTTTTAAATAACCATGATTAAAAAAATAAGATGGAAATTTGTGGACTGTTGGGGAAGAGAACTAAGCCTCACAAGCAGGTGGTCCCTGCTTGGAAGCCGGTGCCATGTGTGCGTGGCTGCCAGAGTGGGCACAGCCACATCCAAGCCTCTCTCCCTGAGTCAGCACCATTCGCGGACTGTGGCAGGGACGGAACCAGGCCTCACAAGGAGGTGATCCCAGCCTGCAAACCATACCATTTCCGTTGTTTTCTTGGGTTGGGTTTTATTCTTTTTTGGTTTGCTTGATTATGTGAAATCTGATGACCTGAGCAGCTATTTAAAAGATAGCAAGACATATTACAGTAGCCATTTTGAATTTACTATCAGCTTATTTTGAAATCCTTTATTGTATTCATTGTTTTGTTTTTATTGTTTCTATTCTGTTCTGTTCTGTTTGATTTTTATTATGTCCAAAGGTATCTATAGCTATTTTGGAGACAACAAGAGGCATGATGGTAACTATTGCTGGTTTCATAAACTAGTATCACTTATACTAGTTTATCTTGATTGGTTTTATTTTCCTTGGTTTTATCCTCTTTAAAATGTGAAAAGTGAAAAAAAATAAGATGGAGAATTTCAGCTAAACCTAAGAAAGAATAAAGCCAAAATTTTAGAACTACAAATAAAATAGTTGAAATTAAAAGTCAGTACTGATTTTAATGAAAACTTTGATATTATTGAATAGAGAAAGTAGTAAACTAGAAATCAGGTCAAAAGAACTCTGAAGTAGAGTAAAATAAAAATACGAATGATATGTGTGTAAGAGACATATAGGTCATGTTAGAGGCATGTACAGTACATGTGCAAAAGCAATACACAGAGTAAAAAGTGTTTAATGTCTTACAGGATGATATTTAACTCCTATTTTAGCCACTTCATATTTTTCTATATGTTTCAATTTTTCTAAAATTAGTATGTAATTATATTTATAATGAGGAAAACATTTTATTTTTCTCTTTATTTTAAAGAGAAAAAATAATGATACAGAATTTCATAAAAATATAATAGGGAATTAACAATGGTTAATATATTGCATATTGTTATCCTCAAAGTAGTTGCTCAGATTATAAGATATAGGCATGAAGATTGATCAAACAACAAGCACAAACTGTTCTTTTCCATGAACTAAAAGAAAGTAGTATAATTATCTTAGCTATCATATATATATTCCCCCCCCTTTTCTCTCCTTTCTTCCAACCCTGTTCTTTCTTCTTGAGCAGTTTCTTCCCATTTTACAAAATCTGTTGTACATTTAGATCTAATTTACCCTTTTGGTTTCTTACACTAGGGAGGCAATATGATGTCTATATCTGTGAGCCTGATTTTATTTCTGATTTATTTATGAGTATGCATTCAAGTTGCATTCATTTACTTATAAAGTCCTTGAATTCTCTTTATAGCTGACTAGTACTCTGTTCTACAGAAATACCACAGCTTTTTTATCCATCCTCGTTGGTGGGCATTTGGATTCTTTTTAAGGTTTAGCTATTACAATTGTGCTGCTACAAATATGGGTGTGCATGTGTTGCTGGGGTATGATGTTTTTAATTTTTCTGGGAAAATATCCAGAAGGGGAATAGCTGGGTCAAAGCACTATTTCTAGTATTTTGAGGAATCTCCGCACTGATTTCCACAATGATTGTACCAGTTTACACTTTCACCAACAGTAGATAAGGGTTCCTTTTTCCCCAGAGTCCTTCTAGCGTTTGTTTTTGGTTGGTTTCCTGATGCACTGAAATTCTTACTGGGGTGAGATGGACTCTCAATGTTCTAATTTGCATTCTTTCTCCTTTCAAATTCATGTATGTTGTGTACCATAGCATTTCCCAAAGTGAGTATTTATGAAAATATTAGTTTCTGTATTAATAAATGTTCTAAGAAGAAAGGATCTTGTTCAAACAAATTTTATAAATAATATGTTAAACAGAATCGGTATTTTTCTTGTTTTTAATTATCCATTTATTTACTTACTATTATTGGACCTTAAAAGTCTTTAATATTCTATTATACCTTGAGAAGCATATAATTTTGAGCCTACTTGGATCAGAAATTTTCACATCACAGACTGCCGAATAAGACCTGAGATCAGGCAAGTGTTTATCTGGAAGCAGATCCCAAGTTCTGCACCCCAGCATGCCAGTGTCTATCTGCCACATTTGCTCCCTCCTACAAGGGCTGTCTTTTCTATTATTCTGCCTCCTCTGAAAAACTCCACACTTTTGGCATCCTGTGTCTGAAATATGCCCCCTTCCATGTCCTTTCTAAAATTATTAGACTTTTACTCATGTTCCAACACCTCGCAGAAATTTGGCCTCATTTGGGGCGCCTGCCCTATCTCCTTGTCACTGTGTCACACCTTTGAACATGCAGTGCATTCTGCAGGGTGTGTGGTACTTGCAGTGTCCTTGTCTTGGTGCTTGTTGTCTTTCACCCTAGATTAGAACTTATTCAGTCTGCATCCACAGGACTGAATGTTAGTCTGGTCATGAGGTGGGGAAATGAATGAATGGAGGGTAACATCACAGCTAACTTTGCCTTTCTTTGACAGAACAACAAATATTTACCAATTAATGTTTATTTCTTTTTTGCTTTCAATCCAATAGGTGATGATTGTAGAAACATTAGGAGGAAATCTGACAAAGGATAAAAACTATTTTTTATCTTAATACTCAGTGATGTGCAGTATTAACGTATATATATGTATGTATTTCTGGATTTTGAAAAGTGAATGTGTGCATGTTTTATAAAACTTAGAGTAACAAAAGTTTATATTTTCTTTTTTCTATGTAACTGTCATATCTAAGTGATATTTAATACTATTTTCAAATATTATACATAAAATTTGTTGCATAGTTTTTTGTAAGTCTGACAAATTATATATTCCCCAAAATTCTTTAATGACTATCTTATATAAAAACTTCATTTCTATTTCAGATTTTTGCCTTAGGACAGAGTCTTAGAGGTGAAATTTTGAGACCCAAGTATATGAACACCGTAACGTTTTCATAATACATGATTTTACACGCTTTCTTTTGCTTGATATTCTATTAAGTAAATTAATATCTATAGTAATCTTAAAACTGTATATGACATATAAATAACTAATAAACAGTCCTAATGATTAGCAATTATTTAACAAACATGTTGCATACCTACTATGTAGAGAGCACTGTTCAACTATGCAGAATTTAATGTTTTTTAATAGTCAGTGTGGACATCGGGATCACTGAAAGCTTCCCTGCATTGAATATCACTATTTTGTAACTGTGTGAATTTGAAAGGTGAAAAGGCATTATTACAAGACATCAGTTCATGAACATCAACAACAAAAGCTAACACTTTTTCAATATAATCATGCCTAAGCGACAACATGGAATCCTTTGTCTGTCTCACCCCACTTTTAAAGTGCTCTCATTTCTTACATTTTGCTGTTCCTAATTCAACTTGCCATTCACCAGCACCGAGTTCCTTCTCCTCCTTATAGGGCGTCTTTTCCTTCACGCACATTTTTGGTTGAAGGGCAATTTCTTCACCAATATATGGCTGAAGGGCAGTGTATGGGAAGCTTAGTGCTGGGTCTTAAGCATATGATAACAAAGCAGCTTAGAATGTCCTTGCCTTTAGAACTTAGCTAAGAGCAAAAATATTGAGCCACATGCCTTTAGTCTTGTGAGAGAGAAGCAGAGGATGCTTTGAAGGCCAAATGACTCTCCATTCTTTGTAGTCCTCTTTTAGAAAATGTGGTTTAAGCCATGACCTGGTGCATAAACCAGAATTAACAGCACGTTGGTAAGATGGAGCAGGGTAGATTTAAAGGTAAGAGAGAGAATAGCTTATGAGGAAGGCTTGATGTGGGAAAGACATTCTAGGCAATGGAGAAGTCTCATTTAGTTTATGTGAGAGATGATCTGGATGACCTGAGATCAGTCTCGGAAGGTGAGTGGGGTCAGATTGTACCTGGTCTCCAGCATCCTCACTTGTCTCCAGCCTGCTCTTCTGAACTTACTTCTCCTTTTGAGCCAAGAATCTGCCAAGTCTGTCCTCTTGTTCTTGTAGCCAGCTCTCCTAATACCATCTTTGTGGTTTCCAGAGGGCACTGAATCCAAAATAAAGCCCCATGGCTTATACAGGTCTGCTTATTTCATAAGGAAAAATATTTTAGTGATTCAAACATCCCTTTTTGTTAAACACCAAGACCCTAGAACCAAAGAGAATGAAACAACAAATGTGCCTAGAGTTGTTTAAGTGTTTTACTTTCAGCCCAGTGTGGACTGTCTCCAAAGGACCCATATGAAGTTGAGAGGAGGAGCTGAGGGGGTGTGCACTGGCGCTGTTGAGTCATGTGAATGAGCATGTAAATGTGCACCAGGAGTCTGAGCAAAGGCTGCACATAATGAGTCTCATTGCTCAGTGTTTCAAGGGACTCAATCTGGGACCCTTCCCCAGCCTATAACCTTGAGGAAAGCCTTCTTGACATCCTTGTTCCGGAGGCTGTAGATGATGGGATTGAGAAAAGCAGAGATAACATTATAGAATAAAGCAAGCTTCTTGTCCTCTTCAGGGGTTGCTTTAGATCCAGGCTTCATGTACATGACCATGGCTGGCACACTGAACATGGTGACCACAGTGATGTGGGATGCACAAGTAGAGAAAGCCTTCAGCCGACCCTGTGCTGAATGGATCTTCAAGATGGCAATGAAGATGTTGACATAAATGACAAAGATAAGGGACAGAGGAATCAGTATGACACAGAAACCAAGAATGAAGTCTACTCGGTCATTGAGTGAAGTGTCTGCACAAGCCAGTTTTAAGACTGCAGGGACTTCACAGAAGAAATGGTTGATCTTGTTGGGACCACAGTAGGGCAGACGCATGGCAAAGATAGTGTAGACAAGAGCAGAGATGATACCCCAGAGTCCACAGAAAACTGCCATTATCCAACATAGCCACGGGCACATGATGACTTTGTACCTGAGTGGGTGACAGATGGCCACATACCTGTCTACAGACATGATGGCAAAAAGCCAGGACTCAGTGATGCCTAGTACCAAGAAAATGTACATTTGGGCTACACAGCTGGGAAAAGAGACTGTCTTTTTCTGGCTGGTCAGATGTACCAACATCTGAGGCACAGTTGTGGTGGTATAGCCCACATCCAACACAGAAAGGATGCCAATAAAAAAGTACATGGGGGTGTGGAGGTGTGAGTCCAGGCAGATGAGGATGGTGATCAAGCTGTTACCCAGAATAATCAACAGGTAGATCATGAGAAAAGCTGAGAGGAGCAGAGGTGTGGTCCTGGGTTCCAGGGAGAATCCCAGCAGGATGAATTCAGTCACAAATGACTGATTGGATATGTGCATTGTGTTCTACCTCTCAAAGAAAGAAAAGATAGTAATTTAGACAGGAAACAAGCTAATGTATACACTACAGGTGAGGTTACTGATGGGTGAGGTGGTGGTCAGTGTCCAAATCTGCTGAAACATCATGATATCTTCCCAAAATACAGACCTTACCTCTGTCACCAGCTGAGGAAGTTTTCAAAGAGGAGAGGATCACATTTAGTACCAGCTGTACCTCTAAACTACCAGTAGTTCTCCCTCTCACTTCAGTTTTATTCTCTGTAAAATGAAAAAATTAGCCAGATTGATCCCTAGATTATCTTAGCATCCTCTTCTTAATAAGGATTCCAAGTTTCCTTCATTATCCAGGTATTTGAACATAAATATCAGTGTTATGTAGCATAGCTGGGTTGACAAATTTCCAATATCTGAAACATAGAAAAACTACTTGGTCCTTTTTCATATATTGATTTCTTTTTCTACTTAATTTTGCCCTCAGTCTGTCCATAGGAAGAATGGGTCTCTGTGTATCCACTCACTCCACCTCTGGCCATACTTTATTAAAAGAAACACTGACTTCTTAAATCTAGTTGTATAATTCACTGAGTGAATGACCTTGAATAAGCCATTTTCCCTTTCCTCTGACCTTGAGAGCCTTGAGGTGCAGACAATGAGAGTGTCCTCTTGTTTTGGTTTATTAAACTGTTGAATGATAGTTTAGAATGCAAATCATCATACCGAAGGCCTAAAAGGTGGTAGGAGCTCAATAAATGTTACTTGCGTTTTCTGAATGGGTCTCTGTAGACAGATATTCAGACCCAACCTATATAAGCAGACATCCTGAGAAGTCACTCCGTCCTCCTTGATGTCAACAGTTGTTACTCCCCTCCAGATAGTTCCCTCTTTTCCCCGCTACAAAGCCAGAACCCCAGTCTTTACCTTTTCACTGACTCTTAGCTCTGTTTGAGCTTAAATCCCTGAGCTTGTTCTCCAGAGAACAGGCAAAGAACATCTCCAAGGAGATGTTATTTGCATTGCTGGTAATTGAGGTCTGGAGCATATTTGATGCTGTCAGAGTCTCTCGTTCTCCTGGCACTGACTCATCCTACTTGTTTTCCAATCTTCTTGTTCTCTTTCAGAACACCTTGACTGAGTCTTCATAAGAACCTTATTTCTGCATTGGGTACATTAAGGGGTTTCTTGTGGTTGGCCAGTAGGACTGCACACAATTTAAACTTCCCATATGCTAAGCTCTGTTACAGGACCTCCACAGATCTTACCCTACAGCTACTAAGCAGCTGGAAGACAGCTATTTTTTAAAATTAAACTCCTGTTTTTCATCAAAGAATCTTTCTAAGTCAAGCTGTCTCCTGTGTTGGTTTCAGCTCCTCCATCTTCCCAAAGGATAATTGTGGTTGGGCCAGGTAGATTTCAAGAAGAGAAGCCACATGGCAGTGTGGAAAGTGCGTGTTAAACACGGCTGATTCTGCCTGAGTCCTGCCTCTGGATTTACGTGTGTAACTTTAGTTGTTAGCTCACTGTTATAGCCCTTAGTTTCCTCAGATATATGAGGAATAAGGATAAAAATATCTTTATTGCAATCCACATTCTTCCTATGAAGATGCAGCTCAAAGATGTCAGAATACTGTGGCCTGGATGGGGAATATGTTTTGCAGGTTTTCACTTTTCATGTTCCACAAAGGTCCTGAGAGAGGGATTTTCCTTAAGCAGGTGATCCTTAGGAGTACTGGGCTTGGCTGAACTGTGAGGACAGGCTATAGTTGGTTGGGAAACTTGTCTACAAACCAGCAAGTGAGCCCACATATGCTCTTCCACCGGTAGGACATTGGGTCAGAAATTCAGGCTTCTCAATCCCTTGAGTGCCTACCCCTCCCTGACTCTCCTGTGTGATGTGAAGGCATTGGAAGCAGAAACTCCATGTGAGGGACAGCAAAGAGGAAAATCATTGTCTGGTACAATAAGCTTGGACTTTGTTTCAGCCGAAAATATAGAATCCAATTTTTGAGATGTGTCTTACAAAAGATCTTAACATTCATTCTCTCTTTGAGCCTCCTGATGATTCTGAGAAATACAGGTGACAGATCGTTGTCTCCACCTGACAGATGGAAAAGCTAAGCCTCAGAGAAGGAATGTATGGCAGAAATGAAATAATATTAATTTTTCAGCAGAAATAGGACTTCCTGTATGCCACAAAACTACCCTTAAACAGAACTCAACTAGTCTGACTTCTTAACTTCCCAAAATGTTTTCTGTCTTTCATTCTTATGGAGGAAAGGCAAACAATGAGGGCAAATGAACAATCTTGCATTGGGTTTAGTTGATTATATTTATGCACATATGTAGATAAGCACATGTGCACATGGAAACGAAACCACACACACACACACACAGAGAGAGAGAGAGAGAGAGAGAGAGAGAGAGAGAGAGAGAGAAACAGAGAGAGACAGAGACAGAGGGACAGAGAGTAATTGTCAGTATCTATAAGATCAAGCCGAATCAGACCAGTCAGAAAGTTGGAAAGACAACCTCAGCACCTGACTCATCCTTTACATCCTATTTGCCATCAGGTTCCATTGCTGCCACTTTCAGAATGCCTTTGCTCCTCATGGGTCCCTATCCAAGTCTATTGCCAGTATCTAGTTCAGACACTTAGCATCTCTCTCTCTCTCTCTCTCTCTGTCTGTCTCTCTCTCTGTCCTGTTTTCATTTGATTCTCCCACTGGGTCTCTTGCCCAGCCCATTCTCTGCACCAGCCTTCAGAGTACTCTTTTCTAAAACAAAAACCAGACTGGGATACATTTTCATGATCCCCTTATCTATAGGGAACCATCTAAGGGAGTTAGACTGGTATCCCAACTTCACAATTGATAGCTAGACTTTGTTTTAGTGCCCAGTTCTCAGGCAGGTTATTGGGCTCTTTTAGAGAATTCTTTGGTGTTGCAAGGCTGACATAGAAAACCTCCCAGCAGTCTTGGAAGCGATCTCCAAAGAGGAGCCTGATTTGCAGTTTGGACATTCATCTCTGAGCATGATGGGAATTCAGGCCAGAGTTAAGATGAGCTCTTACATTTCATGGCTGCCAGCTGTTCAGTTTCTTGAGCTCTGTTCTAGCCCAAGGCAAGGGCAATCTTACTTAAGAATTCTGACACTTTCCTTCTGAGCAGCTCCACTGTGCATGACTTTACTGTTTTTCCTGTATATTCTCCTTAATACCAAGCCTGTTACAGCCTGAAGTCAAAACATACCAAGAGACACTGGGAAATCTGAATAAGAAAGGAATACTTATATTCTTTTTGTCCTTATAATTTTCCTTCCTGTTTCCAAGTGATCAAGGTGGGAAAAGAATCACTTGTGCTAGAAGTCACGAGCCCTTCAGAAACTAGGCCACCAAGTCCATGTGGAAAGGAGGGTTGGGTATGATTTGTACTGAATGTTATGAATCTTTTTAATTTATCTCAACTTTTGTCCCAGCTAATATATGTATATAATATTAATTCTAATAATTGCATCTTCCTATGGTTAAATACATGTTCTTTTCTTCATTATTTTATATTGGAGTAATAGTTGAAAGATTTAATAATGAGCACGAATGTGTGTTCTTTAATCAGAGCCAACACATGCCACAGGGAGCAGGTAAAGCTGTACCTGTATTATTAAAGCACACACTTGTTATACCTAAGGAAGAGGTAGCACACCTTGGCCAGGTCACATCCGTCTCCAAAGCAGAGCCAGCACTCCTGAGCACCAAGTAGCATCAATGGGAAGGGTGTGGTTGGCTGACCTGATGAAAACCAGCCTCTCTGACTCCATGTCCATACACTGATTACTCTCTACATGCTGGCTCATTCCTTTCTCCTCCAGAGAAGAAACCAAATATAGAAGATCAGCAGGAGTAAAAATTAAGTCAAAGAGCAAAACAAATAACCCTGGAGTAGGCAGCCTCTCAGGCCAATCAGACAGGCCAGGCTTGTTCCTGAATCTCTGAGGCTACCTCTGCACACAGGCATAGTTATATGGTGGTGCTTTCCCTAAGTATGTGCCCCCTTTCCCCCCCCCCTGTTCTCCATATCGTGGCCTTCTTCTTCCCAGACAGCTGCATAAAAGATGCCCTGATGGGAAGCTAGAGATGACACACGTTGTCAAGAGCTGATCATCCCCCAAATATTCTTTCCTGCCAAATTTGGGAAGCTCCAGGTGTCCAGAGTTCTGGCTGGAAAAATGAGAGAGGCTAGGTCAGGGGACATAAGGGTGAGTGGAGGAACCCATCTCCAAAGGCTTGGGCCTGCACTGACTAGAGACTGATAGGGTGGGAGCCTGGTCCCATCTGGGGAATCCTGAGAGACAAAGAAAGAGTATGGGGTGCAAGAGTGAGGAAAAAGTGACCTCACCTGAGGTCAGCAAGAATGGAGCAGAATACAGGTCAGAAACCCACTCTGGGCAGAGCAGACACAGAGGCCAAGTCAGTAAGCATCAGGTGCAAAGAAGGACAGAGAAAAAGACATGGAGGACCAGAGGCACGACAGAGAATCCATGGATTGAAAATGAATAGAAACTGGAAGACAGAATCCAAGGATCAGAGAGTTAGCTCTTGGCTTTTTTGATGCTTGGGTCACTGGCAGAATGAATTCCCAAAGACAAACTGCAATATTACAGGAATCCCAAGTTGCTCTTGAGGTTTCGACCAGAACTGCAAGTATACAGGACTACTAGAAACTAGAGAATTCTGATGCTGAGTTCAGAGGTTGTTCCTCTGTGAATTCCATTATGCTTAGGATAATCTCTGCTAGAGTCTTCTTGAGTTTGAAGACTAATCCATGTTCCTTAAAAAAGTTAATAAACACAGACAGGTGGAAAGAAAAGAAAACCTTGTCTTTAAGTTCTATGCAGCAAAGAAAAACTTCTGTACTAATTTTTTATGTTGCTGTCCAATTTTCCTAAGATTAAATGATAGTATGTTTCTTTCCCTTGATTCTTATTATGTTTTATATTCAGTATATATAAATATATATATATTCAGTAAATATAAATATATATATATATTTGACTGATGGTAGTGACCTGAGTATCCATTTACCCCT